AAATAAATAAATAAATAAATAACAACCTTTATTAATTCATTTCCTATATCTTTAAACATACATTGTACTGCCAGGTTTAATATATGCCCAAAACACCGAATTGATTGCTGTTCACCATTAAATTGTATATCATATTGTGAAACAGAATCTGAAAATTCTTGTAAAAATCTATCATTTGCATATGCATTATCACGCGTGATTGCCATTATTTTGGAAATAATTCCCATTGATTGAAGACATTCTTCCATAGATTTAGCGATCTCAACACCTGTGTGCCGCCCATCCATATAGATAAAATCAAGTAAAAGGTTTTTCATAGTCCATGATTCACTTAGATAATGGATAGTAACTGACATAAATGACTTGTCATTAGTGTCTGTTGTCCAAATATCGGTTGTCAGTGATATACACCCAGGAATCTTTTGTAATTTTCTTCGAAGTTTAACACGCTCCTCTTCAAAATTACTTATAATGTGCCTTTTGATTAAATCTGACGATGGCGCTATAAAAAATAAATAAATAAATAATATATATAAATTAATAAAAAAACCTTATATTAAATAAATGATGCTGATAAAAACCTGAAAATAATATTATCACTTTATAGTTTTCGCCTTGCATGATGCAATTTCGAATTATGCTATTTAGTATTAAATAGCATAATTAGAAATTGCATCATGCAAGGTGAAAACTATAAAGTGATAATATTATTTCTAGGTTTTTATTTAATATTGTTTAAATTTGGAATAAAATATTTAAATTAAATATTGTACCCATTGAACGCGGCTCTAAATATGTCAATATGTCTTTAAGACCTTCATCTTCAATTATATGAAAAGGCCGATTATGCTTAATCACCCACTTTTTAATAAGATCAGTAAGGATTTTGGGGTCAAAAGGTTCACGATTCCGATTCGCATTCTGGTAATTATATATTATTAGAAAATGTTTCCAAAAAAATATAAATATAATTCATAAACTTACATTATTGTTTAACATATCTAAAACAGTAATACCCTGTGATGTATTTGATGTTTTCAACTCTGGCACTTTATTTTTATGCTGGGAAGCGAGGTGCTTTCTAAAGCTTGAAGTAGATCTATCTTCTCGAACTTTCAAGCTTTTATTACAAAATGTACACACTACAACTAATCCGCTTTTACTTTCTTTTTTTTTAAAATATTTCCAGACGAATGATCTATAAATAACCATATTAGTGCATAAGGTATTGTTATTATTAAATCCTTGAGAATAATATATTTATTACCTTGTTGTATGTGTAGAGGACTCATTACTAGTAACATCTTCCGCTAACATTAATAATTCACTATTCTCAATCTCATCAAAGCAAGTTATATCTGTTGGTTTCATAGTTTTATCATAAGATAATATAGGCGAACTTGGTAATGGACTTGATAATGGACTTGACATTATTGAGTTTTCTTCCTCTTCAAAAAACCAATTGTGAAAAAAAAAAAAAAAAAAAAAAGAATATTTCTCTAAAAAAAAAAAAAAAAAAAAAAAA